TTAAATAAGCATTCTAAAGCAGTGGTTCTCAATCTTTTCTTCACCATTGACCCCTTTTAAATACCTTTTGTGGCCACGCACCATGGCCACGGACCCCCAAGACTTAACTCAAGATTTAAATCATAACATTTCTTCAAGCCTTTATGGGTCTGTGGACCACAGGTGGAGGACCACTGTTCCGAAGGATTTTCCTCTCTTTGGCAGCCTTTTCCCAACGCAGGTGTGTCCAGATATATTGAATTTCTGTCTCTCAAAATTCTCACTTAGTATAATCAAGGGAAGTTCTTGAACCTGGTTGACCAGATACTCCCTAGAAGTATCAGCGGTCTGGTTTCATGCGTTCATTTCTATTCTTCTTCTGCTTTGCTGGCAGCTTTTATCCCCCAATTATTTCTTTCAGAAACACTATTATCAGCCCCTCTGGACTTTAGTTGGAGCTGGGGCAAAGCAGCTGGCCACTTCAGGACGTTCAACAGCAAGTGTTATTCCTTCGGGGGTTAAGTGGATCCAATCCAAGGTGGAAAAGTTGGATCCTGACAACAACTGTGTCTATCTGGGGAACAATCAGAAGGTAGGCAGCCCATTTAAACTTGGGGATTTATCTGCTCCGTTAAATCTTATCTGCATAAACCAGGGGTAGGCAACCTTGGCTCTTTTATGATTCGTGGACTTCAACTCCCAGAAGTCATGAAGGGGCCAAAGTTCCCCCATGCTGGCTGAGGAATTCTGGGAATTGAAGTCCGCAAATCATGAAGGGGCCAAAGTTCCCCCATGCTGGCTGAGGAATTCTGGGAGTTGAAGTCCACAAGTCATCAAAGAGCCAAGGTTGCCTACCCCTGGCATAAACCATTGATGGAGCTTGAATAATGAGATTTAGCCTTTGGTTCAAATAGGCTACTCATCTATATGAGTAATATTTAATACCTAAAATTGAATTATTTCTGCCATCTCTTATCAATGCTTATTTGAACTTCTAAAAAAACCTACCGGATGTGATTTACTTATTTTTGCATTATTCTTGCCTGTAATACAGGCGAAACATTTGTTAAGCGAGTTTTGTCCCATTTTATGACCTTTCTTGCCACAGCTGTTAAGTGAATCACTGCAGTTGTTAAGTCAGGGACACAGTTGTTAAGGTAATCTGCATTCCCCATTGAGTTTGCTTATCAGAAGGTCGCAAGCAAATGTATGACCCCAGGACACTGCAACGGTCATAAATCTGAGTCAGTGGCCAGGCGTATGAATTTTGATCACGTGACCCTGGGGGATGCTGCAACGGCCATAAGTATGAAAAACGGTCATGTCACTTTTTCCAGTGCCGTTGTAACTTTGAACGGTCACTAAAGGAACTGTTGTAAGTCGAGGACTACCTGTATTCCATGCGTGTAGGAGAGACTGCGCTTCCAGGTTTTGAGAAAAAAAAACCAGTCTGTTGAATAAATCCTTGGTTCCCGTTTAAGATCTTAGTTTTCTTCTTTCTTTTACAGGTATCTTACAAGTATTTGATTGTTGCTCTCGGGCTGCAGCTGAATTTTGAAAAGGTATTTTATTTTAAGATCCGGCGGGGTAAATTGCTCTGTTAGCATTTCCTTGGCAGTTTTCTCTACTGATAGGCAGCAAGGCTCGGTGGCTTGCGTGCCCCTTGCATGGAAGTCCCCACGTTCTGAGCAGGACGGGAGAAATAGCATTGTGTCTTTCCCACAAGGAAGCCCTCAATGGAAATTGTGAAACTGAGGTTGCGCAACCCGTACAAGAGATTAAATCCAGTGGAAGAAACCCATGAGAGACCCCTAGTGCTTTATCAGGAAATTGAATGCATCCAGGGACACCTAACCATTCTTCTTCTTCTTCTTGTGCCATATCCGTTATCGGACGTTGGCGATCCTGTTTTTATCAGCAGCCGCACGAAAAAGTGCTGCTGAGTTTTGTCCAAACCAGTCCCTTAGATTTTGAAGCCACGATGTTCTTCTTCTGCCTGGACCTC